ATATGCTGGCATGAACTCAGAAATATCTGGTGTGTTATGGCTATCTCAATCCCAGATTTTGCTACAGCCTCTGTGTTTCTTTGAGTTTTCTGGACATTTTCTACGGATTTTACAGTTCTGAATGCATTTTAGCATGTAAGTTTTCTGCTGGCAAATGCTAATTATTACCACATGGATTCAAATCCTCCACGCATTCGAGTTTTCTAGGCAGAAAATTTCAAAAACCTGAGAAAAAATTATATTTTCCCCGGAAAACCACAACAATTTTTCAGGATTTACCGGGATGTAAACACAAATATCTGGTGTGTTGTGGCTATCTGAATCCCAGATCGTGCTATAGCCTCTGTGTTTGTTTGTGTTTTCTGGACATTCTCTACAGAGTTTACGGTTTTGAATGCATTTTAGCATGCAAGTTTTTGTTTTCTGCCAGCAAACGCTAATTGGTTCCACATGGAGTCAAATCCTCCACACATTCGAGTTTTCTAGGCAGAAAGCTTCAGAAACCTGAGAAAACATAATTGTGTTTGTAAACATGACATTGGATGCATTTGCCGAACAGAAAGATTGTGCTTTTCTCCAAAACCACTTTCACGGGGATTTTTTGGCTATATTTCACCTGAAAACCACAATTTTTCAGGATTTACCGGGATGAAAACAAAACTATCTGGTGTGTTGTGGCTATCTCAATCCCAGATCTTGCTACAGCCTCTGTGTGTTTGTGTATTCTGGACATTCTCTACGGATTTTAAGGTTTCGAATGCATTTTAGCAGGACACTTTTTGTTTTCTGCTAGCAAACGGTAATTGGTTCCACATGGAGTCAAATTCTCCACACATTCGAGTTTTCTAGGAAGAAGTCTTCAGAAACCCGAGAAAACATGATATTTGTGTTTGTAAACATGACATTGGATGCAGTTGCCGAACAGAAAGATTGTGCTTATCTCCAAAACCACTTTCACGGTGGTTCTTTGGTTAATTTCACCCAAAATCCACAACAATTTGTCCGGATATGCTGGGATGAACTCAGAGATATCTCGTGTGTTATGGCTATGTCAATCCCAGATCTTGCTACAGCCTCTGTGTTTGCTTGGGTTTTCTGGACATTTTCTACGGACTTTACAGTTCTGAATGCATTTTAGCATGTAAGTTTTCTCTGGCAAACGATAATTTTTACCACATGGATTCAAATCCTCCACACATTCGAGTTTTCTAGGTAGAAAGCTTCAAAAACCCGAGAAAACATGATATTTGTATTTGAAAACATGACATTGGATGCAGTTGCCGAACAGGAAGATTGTGCTTTCCTCCAAAACCACTTTGACGGTGATTTTTTGGTTAAATTTCACCTGAAAACCACAATTTTTCAGGATTTGCTGGGATGAAAAGCAAAATATCTGGTTTGTTGTGGCTATCTCAATCCCGGATCGTGCTACAGCCTCTTTGTTTGTTTGTGTTTTATGGACATTCTCTATGGACTTTACGGTTTTGAATGCATTTTAGCATGACACTTTTTGTTTTCTGATGGCAAACGCTAATTGGTTCGACCTGGGGTCAAGTCCTCCACACATTCGAGTTTTCTTGGCAGAAATCTTCAGAAACGTGAGAAAACATGATATTTGTGTTTGTAAGCATGACAAGGAATGTATTTGCTGAACAGAAAGATTGTGCTTTTCTCCAAACCACTTTCATGGGTATTTTTTGGTTAAATTTCACCCGAATTCCACAACAATTTGTCCAGATAATTTTGGATGAAAACAAAAATATCTGGTGTGCTGTGGCTATCTCAATCCCAGATCTTGGTACAGCCTCTGTTTTTGTTCGTGTTTCTAGAAATTCGCTTAGGACTTTACGGATTTGCATGCATTTTAGCATCACACTTTATGTTTTCTGCCAGCAAACGCTAATTGGTTCCCCTTGGTGTCAAATCCTCCACACATTCGAATTTTCTTGGCAGAAAGCTTCAGAAGGCTGAAAAAATATGATATTTGTTTTGTAAACATGACATTGGATGCATTTGCTGATGAGAAAGATTGTGCTTTACTGCAAAACCACTTTCATGGTGATTTTTTGGTTAAATTTCACCTGAAAACCACAACATTTGTCCAGATATTCCTCAATGAAAACAAAGAGCTCTGTTGTGTTGTGGATATCTCAATCCCAGATCTTGCTACAGCCTCTGTGTTTGTTTGGGTTTTCTGGACATTCTCTACGGACTTTATGGTTCTGAATGCATTTTAGCATGTAAGTATTTGTTTTCTGCAGGCAAACGCTAATTAGTACCACATGGAGTCAAATCTTCCACACATTCGTGTTTTCTAGGCAGAAAGCTTCAAAAACCTGAGAAAACATGATATTTGTATTTGTAAACATGATATTGGATGCATTTGCCGAACAGGAAGATTGTGCTTTTCTCCAAAACCACTTTCACGGTGATTTTTGGTTAAATTTCACCAGAAATCCACAACAATTTGTCCAGATACTCCTGGATGAAAACAAAACTATCTGGTGATTTGTAACTATTTCAATCCGAGATCTTGCTACAGCCTCTGTGTGTGTTTGTGTTTTCTGGATATTCTCTATGGACTTTAAGGTTTTGAATGCATTTTAGCAGGACCCTTTTTGTTTTCTGCTGGCAAACGCTAATTGGCTCCACCTGGAGTCAAACACTCCACACATTCGAGTTTTCTGGGAAGAAAGCTTCAGAAACCTGAGAAAACATGATATTTCTTTCTGTAAACAGGACATTGGATGCATTTGCCGAACAGGAAGATTGTGCTTTTCTCCAAAACCACTTTCACGGTGATTTTTGGTTAAATTTCACCCGAAATCCACAACAATTTGTCCAGATACTCCTGGATGAAAACAAAACTATCTGGTGATTTGTAGCTATCTCAATCCCAGATCTTGCTATAGCCTCTGTGTATGTTTGTGTTTTCTGGACATTCTCTATGGACTTTACAGTTTTGAATGCATTTAGGCATTTAAGTTTTTGTTTTTAGCCGCCAAACGCTAATTGGTTCCACCTGGAGTCAAATCCTCCACACATTCGAGTTTTCTAGGAAGAAAGCTTCAGAAACCTGAGAAAACATGATATTTCTTTCTGTAAAAATGACATTAGATGCATTTGCCGAACAGGAAGATTGTGCTTTTCTCCAAAACCACTTTCACGGTGATTTTTGGTTAAATTTCACTTCAAAACTACTACAATTTGTCCAGATACTCCTGGATGAAAACAAAACTATCTGGTGATTTGTAACTATTTCAATCCGAGATCTTGCTACAGCCTCTGTGTGTGTTTGTGTTTTCTGGACATTCTCTATGGACTTTAAGGTTTGGAATGCATTTTAGCAGGACCCTTTTTGTTTTCTGCTGGCAAACGCTAATTGGTTCCACCTGAAGTCAACTACTCCACACATTCGAGTTTTCTAGGAAGAAAGCTTCAGAAACCTGAGAAAACATGATATTTCTTTCTGTAAACATGTCATTGGATACATTTGCAGAACAGGAAGATTGTGCTTTTCTCCAAAACCACTTTCACGGTGATTTTTAGTTAAATTTCACCCGAAATCCACAGCAATTTGTCCAGATACTCCTGGATGAAAACAAAACTATCTGGTGATTTGTAGCTATCTCAATCCCAGATCTTGCTACAGCCTCTGTGTGTGTTTGTGTTTTCTGGATATTCTCTATGGACTTTAAGGTTTTGAATGCATTTTAGCTGGACCCTTTTTGTTTTCTGCTGTCAAATGCTAATTGGTTCCACCTGGAGTCAAATACTCCACACATTCGAGTTTTCTAGGAAGAAAGCTTCAGAAACCTGAGAAAACATGATATTTCTTTCTGTAAACATGACCTTGAATTCATTTGCAAAACAGGAAGATTGTGCTTTTCTCCAAAACCACTTTGACGGTGATTTTTGGTTAAATTTCAACCGAAATCCACAACAATTTGTCCAGATACTATTGGATAAAAACAAAACTATCTGGTGATTTGTAGCTATCTCAATCCCAGATCTTGCTAGAGCCTCTGTGTGTGTTTGTGTTTTCTAGATATTCTCTATGGACTTTAAGGTTTTGAATGCATTTTAGCAGGACCCTTTTTGTTTTCTGCTGGCCAACGCTAATTGGCTCCACCTAGAGTCAAACACTCCACACATTCGAGTTTTCTGGGAAGAAAGCTTCAGAAACCTGAGAAAAGATGATATTTCTTTCTGTAAACAGGACATTGGATGCATTTGCCGAACAGGAAGATTGTGCTTTTCTCCAGAACCACTTTCACGGTGATTTTTGGTTAAATTTCACCCGAAATCCACAACAATTTGTCCAGATACTCCTGGATGAAAACAAAACTATCTGGTCATTTGTAGCTATCTCAATCCCAGATCTTGCTATAGCCTCTGTGTATGTTTGTGTTTTCTGGACATTCTCTATGGACTTTACGGTTTTGAATGCATTTAGGCATTTAAGTTTTTGTTTTTAGCCGCCAAACGCTAATTGGTTCCACCTGGAGTCAAATCCTCCACACATTCGAGTTTTCTAGGAAGAAAGCTTCAGAAACCTGAGAAAACATGATATTTCTTTCTGTAAACATGACATTAGATGCATTTGCCGAACAGGAAGATTGTGCTTTTCTCCAAAACCACTTTCACGGTGATTTTTGGTTAAATTTCACTTCAAAACTACTACAATTTGTCCAGATACTCCTGGATGAAAACAAAACTATCTGGTGATTTGTAACTATTTCAATCCGAGATCTTGCTACAGCCTCTGTGTGTGTTTGTGTTTTCTGGACATGCTCTATGGACTTTAAGGTTTGGAATGCATTTTAGCAGGACCCTTTTTGTTTTCTGCTGGCAAACGCTAATTGGTTCCACCTGAAGTCAACTACTCCACACATTCGAGTTTTCTAGGAAGAAAGCTTCAGAAACCTGAGAAAACATGATATTTCTTTCTGTAAACATGTCATTGGATACATTTGCAGAACAGGAAGATTGTGCTTTTCTCCAAAACCACTTTCACGGTGATTTTTAGTTAAATTTCACCCGAAATCCACAGCAATTTGTCCAGATACTCCTGGATGAAAACAAAACTATCTGGTGATTTGTAGCTATCTCAATCCCAGATCTTGCTACAGCCTCTGTGTGTGTTTGTGTTTTCTGGATATTCTCTATGGACTTTAAGGTTTTGAATGCATTTTAGCTGGACCCTTTTTGTTTTCTGCTGGCAAATGCTAATTGGTTCCACCTGGAGTCAAATACTCCACACATTCGAGTTTTCTGGGAAGAAAGCTTCAGAAACCTGAGAAAACATGATATTTCTTTCTGTAAACAGGACATTGGATGCATTTGCCGAACAGGAAGATTGTGCTTTTCTCCAAAACCACTTTCACGGTGATTTTTGGTTAAATTTCACCCGAAATCCACAACAATTTGTCCAGATACTCCTGGATGAAAACAAAACTATCTGGTGATTTGTAGCTATCTCAATCCCAGATCTTGCTATAGCCTCTGTGTATGTTTGTGTTTTCTGGACATTCTCTATGGACTTTATGGTTTTGAATGCATTTAGGCATTTAAGTTTTTGTTTTTAGCCGCCAAACGCTAATTGGTTCCACCTGGAGTCAAATCCTCCACACATTCGAGTTTTCTAGGAAGAAAGCTTCAGAAACCTGAGAAAACATGATATTTCTTTCTGTAAAAATGACATTAGATGCATTTGCCGAACAGGAAGATTGTGCTTTTCTCCAAAACCACTTTCACGGTGATTTTTGGTTAAATTTCACTTCAAAACTACAACAATAAGTCCAGATACTCCTGGATGAAAACAAAACTATCTGGTGATTTGTAACTATTTCAATCCGAGATCTTGCTACAGCCTCTGTGTGTGTTTGTGTTTTCTGGACATTCTCTATGGACTTTAAGGTTTGGAATGCATTTTAGCAGGACCCTTTTTGTTTTCTGCTGGCAAACGCTAATTGGTTCCACCTGCAGTCAAATACTCCACACATTCGAGTTTTCTAGGAAGGAAGCTTCAGAAACCTGAGAAAACATGATATTTCTTTCTGTAAACATGACATTGGATACATTTGCAGAACAGGAAGATTGTGCTTTTCTCCAAAACCACTTTCACGGTGATTTTTAGTTAAATTTCACCCGAAATCCACAGCAATTTGTCCAGATACTCCTGGATGAAAACAAAACTATCTGGTGATTTGTAGCTATCTCAATCCCAGATCTTGCTACAGCCTCTGTGTGTGTTTGTGTTTTCTGGATATTCTCTATGGACTTTAAGGTTTTGAATGCATTTTAGCTGGACCCTTTTTGTTTTCTGCTGTCAAATGCTAATTGGTTCCACCTGGAGTCAAACACTCCACACATTCGAGTTTTCTAGGAAGAAAGCTTCAGAAACCTGAGAAAACATGATATTTCTTTCTGTAAACATGACCTTGAATTCATTTGCAAAACAGGAAGATTGTGCTTTTCTCCAAAACCACTTTCACGGTGATTTTTGGTTAAATTTCACCCGAAATCCACAACAATTTGTCCAGATACTCCTGGATGAAAACAAAACTATCTGGTGATTTGTAGCTATCTCAATCCCAGATCTTGCTAGAGCCTCTGTGTGTGTTTTTGTTTTCTAGATATTCTCTATGGACTTTAAGGTTTTGAATGCATTTTAGCAGGACCCTTTTTGTTTTCTGCTGGCAAACGCTAATTGGCTCCACCTGGAGTCAAACACTCCACACATTCGAGTTTTCTGGGAAGAAAGCTTCAGAAACCTGAGAAAACATGATATTTCTTTCTGTAAACAGGACATTGGATGCATTTGCCGAACAGGAAGATTGTGCTTTTCTCCAAAACCACTTTCACGGTCAGTTTATGGTTAAATTTCACCCGAAATCCACAACAATTTGTCCAGATACTCCTGGATGAAAACAAAACTATCTGGTGATTTGTAGCTATCTCAATCCCAGATCTTGCTATAGTCTCTGTGTATGTTTGTGTTTTCTGGACATTCTCTATGGACTTTACGGTTTTGAATGCATTTTAGCAGGACCCTTTTTGTTTTCTGCTGGCAAACGCTAATTGGCTCCACCTGGAGTCAACACTCCACACATTCGAGTTTTCTGGGAAGAAAGCTTCAGAAACCTGAGAAAACATGATATTTCTTTCTGTAAACAGGACATTGGATGCATTTGCCCAACAGGAAGATTGTGCTTTTCTCCAAAACCACTTTCACGGTGATTTTTGGTTAAATTTCACCCGAAATCCACAACAATTTGTCCAGATACTCCTGGATGAAAACAAAACTATCTGGTGATTGTAGCTATCTCAATCCCAGATCTTGCTATAGTCTCTGTGTATGTTTGTGTTTTCTGGACATTCTCTATGGACTTTACGGTTTTGAATGAATTTAGGCATTTAAGTTTTTGTTTTTAGCCGCCAAACGCTAATTGGTTCCACCTGGAGTCAAATCCTCCACACATTCGAGTTTTCTAGGAAGAAAGCTTCAGAAACCTGAGAAAACATGATATTTCTTTCTGTAAACATGACATTAGATGCATTTGCCGAACAGGAAGATTGTGCTTTTCTCCAAAACCACTTTCACGGTGATTTTTGGTTAAATTTCACTTCAAAACTACTACAATTTGTCCAGATACTCCTGGATGAAAACAAAACTATCTGGTGATTTGTAACTATTTCAATCCGAGATCTTGCTACAGCCTCTGTGTGTGTTTGTGTTTTCTGGACATGCTCTATGGACTTTAAGGTTTGGAATGCATTTTAGCAGGACCCTTTTTGTTTTCTGCTGGCAAACGCTAATTGGTTCCACCTGAAGTCAACTACTCCACACATTCGAGTTTTCTAGGAAGAAAGCTTCAGAAACCTGAGAAAACATGATATTTCTTTCTGTAAACATGTCATTGGATACATTTGCAGAACAGGAAGATTGTGCTTTTCTCCAAAACCACTTTCACGGTGATTTTTAGTTAAATTTCACCCGAAATCCACAGCAATTTGTCCAGATACTCCTGGATGAAAACAAAACTATCTGGTGATTTGTAGCTATCTCAATCCCAGATCTTGCTACAGCCTCTGTGTGTGTTTGTGTTTTCTGGATATTCTCTATGGACTTTAAGGTTTTGAATGCATTTTAGCTGGACCCTTTTTGTTTTCTGCTGGCAAATGCTAATTGGTTCCACCTGGAGTCAAATACTCCACACATTCGAGTTTTCTAGGAAGAAAGCTTCAGAAACCTGAGAAAACATGATATTTCTTTCTGTAAACATGACCTTGAATTCATTTGCAAAACAGGAAGATTGTGCTTTTCTCCAAAACCACTTTCACGGTCAGTTTATGGTTAAATTTCACCCGAAATCCACAACAATTTGTCCAGATACTACTGGATAAAAACAAAACTATCTGGTGATTTGTAGCTATCTCAATCCCAGATCTTGCTAGAGCCTCTGTGTGTGTTTGTGTTTTCTAGATATTCTCTATGGACTTTAAGGTTTTGAATGCATTTTAGCAGGACCCTTTTTGTTTTCTGCTGGCAAACGCTAATTGGCTCCACCTGGAGTCAAACACTCCACACATTCGAGTTTTCTGGGAAGAAAGCTTCAGAAACCTGAGAAAACATGATATTTCTTTCTGTAAACAGGACATTGGATGCATTTGCCGAACAGAAAGATTGTGCTTTTCTCCAAAACCACTTTCACGGTGATTTTTGGTTAAATTTCACCCGAAATCCACAACAATTTGTCCAGATACTCCTGGATGAAAAAAAAACTATCTGGTGATTTGTAGCTATCTCAATCCCAGATCTTGCTATAGCCTCTGTGTATGTTTGTGTTTTCTGGACATTCTCTATGGACTTTATGGTTTGAATGCATTTAGGCATTTAAGTTTTTGTTTTTAGCCGCCAAACGCTAATTGTTCCACCTGGAGTCAAATCCTCCACACATTCGAGTTTTCTAGGAAGAAAGCTTCAGAAACCTGAGAAAACATGATATTTCTTTCTGTAAAAATGACATTAGATGCATTTGCCGAACAGGAAGATTGTGCTTTTCTCCAAAACCACTTTCACGGTGATTTTTGGTTAAATTTCACTTCAAAACTACAACAATAAGTCCAGATACTCCTGGATGAAAACAAAACTATCTGGTGATTTGTAACTATTTCAATCCGAGATCTTGCTACAGCCTCTGTGTGTGTTTGTGTTTTCTGGACATTCTCTATGGACTTTAAGGTTTGGAATGCATTTTAGCAGGACCCTTTTTGTTTTCTGCTGGCAAACGCTAATTGGTTCCACCTGGAGTCAAATACTCCACACATTCGAGTTTTCTAGGAAGGAAGCTTCAGAAACCTGAGAAAACATGATATTTCTTTCTGTAAACATGACATTGGATACATTTGCAGAACAGGAAGATTGTGCTTTTCTCCAAAACCACTTTCACGGTGATTTTTAGTTAAATTTCACCCGAAATCCACAGCAATTTGTCCAGATACTCCTGGATGAAAACAAAACTATCTGGTGATTTGTAGCTATCTCAATCCCAGATCTTGCTACAGCCTCTGTGTGTGTTTGTGTTTTCTGGATATTCTCTATGGACTTTAAGGTTTTGAATGCATTTTAGCTGGACCCTTTTTGTTTTCTGCTGTCAAATGCTAATTGGTTCCACCTGGAGTCAAACACTCCACACATTCGAGTTTTCTAGGAAGAAAGCTTCAGAAACCTGAGAAAACATGATATTTCTTTCTGTAAACATGACCTTGAATTCATTTGCAAAACAGGAAGATTGTGCTTTTCTCCAAAACCACTTTCACGGTGATTTTTGGTTAAATTTCACCCGAAATCCACAACAATTTGTCCAGATACTCCTGGATGAAAACAAAACTATCTGGTGATTTGTAGCTATCTCAATCCCAGATCTTGCTAGAGCCTCTGTGTGTGTTTTTGTTTTCTAGATATTCTCTATGGACTTTAAGGTTTTGAATGCATTTTAGCAGGACCCTTTTTGTTTTCTGCTGGCAAACGCTAATTGGCTCCACCTGGAGTCAAACACTCCACACATTCGAGTTTTCTGGGAAGAAAGCTTCAGAAACCTGAGAAAACATGATATTTCTTTCTGTAAACAGGACATTGGATGCATTTGCCCAACAGGAAGATTGTGCTTTTCTCCAAAACCACTTTCACGGTGATTTTTGGTTAAATTTCACCCGAAATCCACAACAATTTGTCCAGATACTCCTGGATGAAAACAAAACTATCTGGTGATTTGTAGCTATCTCAATCCCAGATCTTGCTATAGTCTCTGTGTATGTTTGTGTTTTCTGGACATTCTCTATGGACTTTACGGTTTTGAATGCATTTTAGCAGGACCCTTTTTGTTTTCTGCTGGCAAACGCTAATTGGCTCCACCTGGAGTCAAACACTCCACACATTCGAGTTTTCTGGGAAGAAAGCTTCAGAAACCTGAGAAAACATGATATTTCTTTCTGTAAACAGGACATTGGATGCATTTGCCCAACAGGAAGATTGTGCTTTTCTCCAGAACCACTTTCACGGTGATTTTTGGTTAAATTTCACCCGAAATCCACAACAATTTGTCCAGATACTCCTGGATGAAAACAAAACTATCTGGTCATTTGTAGCTATCTCAATCCCAGATCTTGCTATAGCCTCTGTGTTTGTTTGTGTTTTCTGGACATTCTCTATGGACTTTACGGTTTTGAATGCATTTAGGCATTTAAGTTTTTGTTTTTAGCTGCCAAACGCTAATTGGTTCCACCTGGAGTCAAATCCTCCACACATTCGAGTTTTCTAGGAAGAAAGCTTCAGAAACCTGAGAAAACATGATATTTCTTTCTGTAAACATGACATTAGATGCATTTGCCGAACAGGAAGATTGTGCTTTTCTCCAAAACCACTTTCACGGTGATTTTTGGTTAAATTTCACTTCAAAACTACTACAATTTGTCCAGATACTCCTGGATGAAAACAAAACTATCTGGTGATTTGTAACTATTTCAATCCGAGATCTTGCTACAGCCTCTGTGTGTGTTTGTGTTTTCTGGACATGCTCTATGGACTTTAAGGTTTGGAATGCATTTTAGCAGGACCCTTTTTGTTTTCTGCTGGCAAACGCTAATTGGTTCCACCTGAAGTCAACTACTCCACACATTCGAGTTTTCTAGGAAGAAAGCTTCAGAAACCTGAGAAAACATGATATTTCTTTCTGTAAACATGTCATTGGATACATTTGCAGAACAGGAAGATTGTGCTTTTCTCCAAAACCACTTTCACGGTGATTTTTGGTTAAATTTCACCCGAAATCCACAACAATTTGTCCAGATACTCCTGGATGAAAACAAAACTATCTGGTCATTTGTAGCTATCTCAATCCCAGATCTTGCTATAGCCTCTGTGTATGTTTGTGTTTTCTGGACATTCTCTATGGACTTTACGGTTTTGAATGCATTTAGGCATTTAAGTTTTTGTTTTTAGCTGCCAAACGCTAATTGGTTCCACCTGGAGTCAAATCCTCCACACATTCGAGTTTTCTAGGAAGAAAGCTTCAGAAACCTGAGAAAACATGATATTTCTTTCTGTAAACATGACATTAGATGCATTTGCCGAACAGGAAGATTGTGCTTTTCTCCAAAACCACTTTCACGGTGATTTTTGGTTAAATTTCACCCGAAATCCACAACAATTTGTCCAGATACTCCTGGATGAAAACAAAACTATCTGGTCATTTGTAGCTATCTCAATCCCAGATCTTGCTATAGCCTCTGTGTATGTTTGTGTTTTCTGGACATTCTCTATGGACTTTACGGTTTTGAATGCATTTAGGCATTTAAGTTTTTGTTTTTAGCCGCCAAACGCTAATTGGTTCCACCTGGAGTCAAATCCTCCACACATTCGAGTTTTCTAGGAAGAAAGCTTCAGAAACCTGAGAAAACATGATATTTCTTTCTGTAAACATGACATTAGATGCATTTGCCGAACAGGAAGATTGTGCTTTTCTCCAAAACCACTTTCACGGTGATTTTTGGTTAAATTTCACTTCAAAACTACTACAATTTGTCCAGATACTCCTGGATGAAAACAAAACTATCTGGTGATTTGTAACTATTTCAATCCGAGATCTTGCTACAGCCTCTGTGTGTGTTTGTGTTTTCTGGACATGCTCTATGGACTTTAAGGTTTGGAATGCATTTTAGCAGGACCCTTTTTGTTTTCTGCTGGCAAACGCTAATTGGTTCCACCTGAAGTCAACTACTCCACACATTCGAGTTTTCTAGGAAGAAAGCTTCAGAAACCTGAGAAAACATGATATTTCTTTCTGTAAACATGTCATTGGATACATTTGCAGAACAGGAAGATTGTGCTTTTCTCCAAAACCACTTTCACGGTGATTTTTAGTTAAATTTCACCCGAAATCCACACAATTTGTCCAGATACTCCTGGATGAAAACAAAACTATCTGGTGATTTGTAGCTATCTCAATCCCAGATCTTGCTACAGCCTCTGTGTGTGTTTGTGTTTTCTGGATATTCTCTATGGACTTTAAGGTTTTGAATGCATTTTAGCTGGACCCTTTTTGTTTTCTGCTGGCAAATGCTAATTGGTTCCACCTGGAGTCAAATACTCCACACATTCGAGTTTTCTAGGAAGAAAGCTTCAGAAACCTGAGAAAACATGATATTTCTTTCTGTAAACATGACCTTGAATTCATTTGCAAAACAGGAAGATTGTGCTTTTCTCCAAAACCACTTTCACGGTCAGTTTATGGTTAAATTTCACCCGAAATCCACAACAATTTGTCCAGATACTACTGGATAAAAACAAAACTATCTGGTGATTTGTAGCTATCTCAATCCCAGATCTTGCTAGAGCCTCTGTGTGTGTTTGTGTTTTCTAGATATTCTCTATGGACTTTAAGGTTTTGAATGCATTTTAGCAGGACCCTTTTTGTTTTCTGCTGGCAAACGCTAATTGGCTCCACCTGGAGTCAAACACTCCACACATTCGAGTTTTCTGGGAAGAAAGCTTCAGAAACCTGAGAAAACATGATATTTCTTTCTGTAAACAGGACATTGGATGCATTTGCCTGAACAGGAAGATTGTGCTTTTCTCCAAAACCACTTTCACGGTGATTTTTGGTTAAATTTCACCCGAAATCCACAACAATTTGTCCAGATACTCCTGGATGAAAACAAAACTATCTGGTGATTTGTAGCTATCTCAATCCCAGATCTTGCTATAGCCTCTGTGTATGTTTGTGTTTTCTGGACATTCTCTATGGACTTTATGGTTTTGAATGCATTTAGGCATTTAAGTTTTTGTTTTTAGCCGCCAAACGCTAATTGGTTCCACCTGGAGTCAAATCCTCCACACATTCGAGTTTTCTAGGAAGAAAGCTTCAGAAACCTGAGAAAACATGATATTTCTTTCTGTAAAAATGACATTAGATGCATTTGCCGAACAGGAAGATTGTGCTTTTCTCCAAAACCACTTTCACGGTGATTTTTGGTTAAATTTCACTTCAAAACTACAACAATAAGTCCAGATACTCCTGGATGAAAACAAAACTATCTGGTGATTTGTAACTATTACAATCCGAGATCTTGCTACAGCCTCTGTGTGTGTTTGTGTTTTCTGGACATTCTCTATGGACTTTAAGGTTTGGAATGCATTTTAGCAGGACCCTTTTTGTTTTCTGCTGGCAAACGCTAATTGGTTCCACCTGGAGTCAAATACTCCACACATTCGAGTTTTCTAGGAAGGAAGCTTCAGAAACCTGAGAAAACATGATATTTCTTTCTGTAAACATGACATTGGATACATTTGCAGAACAGGAAGATTGTGCTTTTCTCCAAAACCACTTTCACGGTGATTTTTAGTTAAATTTCACCCGAAATCCACAACAATTTGTCCAGATACTACTGGATGAAAACAAAACTATCTGGTGATTTGTAGCTATCTCAATCCCAGATCTTGCTACAGCCTCTGTGTGTGTTTGTGTTTTCTGGATATTCTCTATGGACTTTAAGGTTTTGAATGCATTTTAGCTGGACCCTTTTTGTTTTCTGCTGTCAAATGCTAATTGGTTCCACCTGGAGTCAAACACTCCACACATTCGAGTTTTCTAGGAAGAAAGCTTCAGAAACCTGAGAAAACATGATATTTCTTTCTGTAAACATGACCTTGAATTCATTTGCAAAACAGGAAGATTGTGCTTTTCTCCAAAACCACTTTCACGGTGATTTTTGGTTAAATTTCACCCGAAATCCACAACAATTTGTCCAGATACTCCTGGATGAAAACAAAACTATCTGGTGATTTGTAGCTATCTCAATCCCAGATCTTGCTAGAGCCTCTGTGTGTGTTTTGTTTTCTAGATATTCTCTATGGACTTTAAGGTTTTGAATGCATTTTAGCAGGACCCTTTTTGTTTTCTGCTGGCAAACGCTAATTGGCTCCACCTGGAGTCAAACACTCCACACATTCGAGTTTTCTGGGAAGAAAGCTTCAGAAACCTGAGAAAACATGATATTTCTTTCTGTAAACAGGACATTGGATGCATTTGCCCAACAGGAAGATTGTGCTTTCTCCAAAACCACTTTCACGGTGATTTTTGGTTAAATTTCACCCGAAATCCACAACAATTTGTCCAGATACTCCTGGATGAAAACAAAACTATCTGGTGATTTGTAGCTATCTCAATCCCAGATCTTGCTATAGTCTCTGTGTATGTTTGTGTTTTCTGGACATTCTCTATGGACTTTACGGTTTTGAATGCATTTTAGCAGGACCCTTTTTGTTTTCTGCTGGCAAACGCTAATTGGCTCCACCTGGAGTCAAACACTCCACACATTCGAGTTTTCTGGGAAGAAAGCTTCAGAAACCTGAGAAAACATGATATTTCTTTCTGTAAACAGGACATTGGATGCATTTGCCCAACAGGAAGATTGTGCTTTTCTCCAAAACCACTTTCACGGTGATTTTTGGTTAAATTCACCCGAAATCCACAACAATTTGTCCAGATACTCCTGGATGAAAACAAAACTATCTGGTGATTTGTAGCTATCTCAATCCCAGATCTTGCTATAGTCTCTGTGTATGTTTGTGTTTTCTGGACATTCTCTATGGACTTTACGGTTTTGAATGAATTTAGGCATTTAAGTTTTGTTTTAGCCGCCAAACGCTAATTGGTTCCACCTGGAGTCAAATCCTCCACACATTCGAGTTTTCTAGGAAGAAAGCTTCAGAAACCTGAGAAAACATGATATTTCTTACTGTAAAAATGACATTAGATGCATTTGCCGAACAGGAAGATTGTGCTTTTCTCCAAAACCACTTTCACGGTGATTTTTGGTTAAATTTCACTTCAAAACTACTACAATTTGTCCAGATACTCCTGGATGAAAACAAAACTATCTGGTGATTTGTAACTATTTCAATCCGAGATCTTGCTACAGCCTCTGTGTGTGTTTGTGTTTTCTGGACATGCTCTATGGACTTTAAGGTTTGGAATGCATTTTAGCAGGACCCTTTTTGTTTTCTGCTGGCAAACGCTAATTGGTTCCACCTGAAGTCAACTACTCCACACATTCGAGTTTTCTAGGAAGAAAGCTTCAGAAACCTGAGAAAACATGATATTTCTTTCTGTAAACATGTCATTGGATACATTTGCAGAACAGGAAGATTGTGCTTTCTCCAAAACCACTTTCACGGTGATTTTTAGTAAATTTCACCCGAAATCCACAACAATTTGTCCAGATACTCCTGGATGAAAACAAAACTATCTGGTGATTTGTAGCTATCTCAATCCCAGATCTTGCTACAGCCTCTGTGTGTGTTTGTGTTTTCTGGATATTCTCTATGGACTTTAAGGTTTTGAATGCATTTTAGCAGGACCCTTTTTGTTTTCTGCTGGCAAATGCTAATTGGTTCCACCTGGAGTCAAATACTCCACACATTCGAGTTGGTAGGAAGAAAGCTTCAGAAACCTGAGAAAACATGATATTTCTTTCTGTAAACATGACATTGGATGCATTTGCAAAACAGGAAGATTGTGCTTTTCTCCAAAACCACTTTCACGGTCAGTTTATGGTTAAATTTCACCCGAAATCCACAACAATTGTCCAGATACTACTGGATAAAACAAAACTATCTGGTGATTTGCAGCTATCTCAATCCCAGATCTTGCTAGAGCCTCTGTGTGTGTTGTGTTTTCTAGATATTCTCTATGGACTTTAAGGTTTTGAATGCATTTTAGCAGGACCCTTTTTGTTTTCTGCTGGCAAACGCTAATTGGCTCCACCTGGAGTCAAACACTCCACACATTCGAGTTTTCTGGGAAGAAAGCTTCAGAAACCTGAGAAAACATGATATTTCTTCTGTAAACAGGACATTGGATGCATTTGCCGAACAGGAAGATTGTGCTTTTCTCCAAAACCACTTTCACGGTGATTTTTGGTTAAATTTCACCCGAAATCCACAACAATTTGTCCAGATACTCCTGGATGAAACAAAACTATCTGGTGATTTGTAGCTATCTCAATCCCAGATCTTGCTATAGCCTCTGTGTGTGTTTGTGTTTTCTGGACATTCTCTATGGACTTTATGGTTTTGAAGGCATTTAGGGCATTATTAATTTTTTGTTTTTAGCCGCCAACGCTAATTGGTTCCACCTGGAGTCAATCCTCCACACATTCGAGTTTTCTAGGAAGAAAGCTTCAGAAACCTGAGAAAACATGATATTTCTTTCTGTAAAAATGACATTAGATGGCATTTGCCGAACAGGAAGATTGTGCTTTTCTCCAAAACCACTTTCACGGTGATTTTGTGGTTAAATTTTCACTTCAAACTACAACAATAAGTCCAGATACTCTGGATGAAAACAAAACTATCTGGTGATTGTAACTATTTCAATCCGAGATCTTGCTACAGCCTCTGTGTGTTTGTTTTTCTGGACATTCTCTATGGACTTTAAGGTTTGGAATGCATTTTAGCAGGACCCTTTTTGTTTTCTGCTGGCAAACGCTAATTGGTTCCACCTGAGTCAAATACTCCACACATTCGAGTTTCTAGGAAGGAAGCTCAGAACCTGAGAAAACATGATATTTCTTTCTGTAAACATGACATTGGCTATACATTTGCAGAACAGGAAGATGTGCTTTTCTCCAAAACCACTTCACGGTGATTTTTAGTTAAATTTCACCCGAAATCCACACATTTGTCCAGATACTCCTGGATGAAAAAAAAACTATCTGGTGATTTGTAGCTATCTCAATCCCAGATCTTGCTACAGCCTCTGTGTGTGTTTGTGTTTTCTGGATATTCTCTATGGACTTTAAGGTTTTGAATGCATTTTAGCTGGACCCTTTTTGTTTTCTGCTGTCAAATGCTAATTGGTTCCACCTGAGTCAAAACACTCCACACATTCGAGTTTTCTGGGAAGAAAGCTTCAGAAACCTGAGAAACATGATATTCTTTCTGAAACATGACCTTGAATTCATTGCAAACAGGAAGATTGTGCTTTTCTCCAAACCACTTTCACGGTGATTTTTGGTTAAATTTCACCCGAAATCCCAACAATTTGTCCAGATACTCCTGGATGAAAACAAAACTATCTGGTGATTTGTAGCTATCTCAATCCCAGTCTTGCTAGAGCCTCTGTGTGATTTTGTTTTCTAGATTTCTCTATGGACTTTAAGGTTTTGAATGCATTTTAGCAGGACCCTTTTTGTTTTCTGTGGCAAACGCTAATTGGCTCCACCTGGAGTCAAACACTCCACACATTCGAGTTTTCTGGGAAGAAACGCTCAGAAACCTGAGAAAACATGATATTTCTTTCTGTAAACATGACATTGGATGCATTTGCCGAATAGGAAGATTGTGCTTTTCTCCAAAACCACTTTCACGGTGATTTTTGGTTAAATTTCACCCGAAATCCCCAACAATTTTGTCCAGATACTCCTGGATGAAAACAAAACTATCTGGTGATTTGTAGCTATCTCAATCCCATCTTGCTATAGTCTCTGTGTATGTTGTGTTTTCGGGACATTCTCTATGGACTTTACGGTTTGAATGCATTTTAGCAGGACCCTTTTTGTTTTCGCTGCAAACGCTAATTGGCTCCACCTGGAGTCAAACACTCCACACTTCGAGTTTTCTGGGAGAAAGCTTCAGAAACCTGAGAAACATGATATTTCTTTCTGTAAACAGGACATTGGATGCATTTGCCCAACAGGAAGATTGTGCTTTTCCCAAAACCACTTTCCGGTGATTTTTGGTTAAATTTCACCCCGAAATCCACAACAATTGTCCAGATACTCCTGGATGAAAACAAAACTATCTGGTGATTTGTAGCTATCTCAATCCCAGATCTTGCTATAGTCTCGTGTATGTTTGTGTTTCGGACATTCTCTATGGACTTTACGGTTTTGAATGAATTTAGGCATTTAAGTTTTTGTTTTAGCCGCCAAACGCTAATTGGTTCCACCTGGAGTCAATCCTCCACACATTCGAGTTTTCTAGGAGAAAGCTTCAGAAACCTGAGAAAACATGATATTTCTTACTGTAAAAATGACATTAGATGCATTTGCCGAACAGGAAGATTGTGCTTTTCTTCCAAAAACCCACTTTCACGGTGATTTTTGTTAAATTTCACTTCAAACTACTACAATTTGTCCAGATACTCCTGATGAAACAAACTATCTGGTGATTTGTAACTATTTCAATCCGAGATCTTGCTACAGCCTCTGTGTGGTTTGTGTTTTCTGGACATTCTCTATGGACTTTAAGGTTTGGAATGCATTTTAGCAGGACCCTTTTGTTTTCTGCTGGCAAACGCTAATTGGTTCCACCTGAAGTCAACTACTCCACACATTCAAGTTTCTCTAGGAAGAAAGCTTCAGAAACCTGAGAAAACATGATATTTCTTTCTGTAAACATGACA